CTCAGTAGTTACTAGTACTCAATGCCAAGATTGGTCGACAACCTCTATGTCTTATAAATAAAGGATCCATTAAAAATCAAAATCAATTCAAACTGGACAGATTTTCATTTATGAAATTATCTGCTTTCAAGATGTATTGCGAACTTGCGATATAAAGAACAAATTAAAGATGAAAGTGAACTTCATTAATTGATGGAAAGCATTAAGATTAGATAGTAAAGAACACTTCATTTCTATAAATATATTTTCTTGATGTCGAAGTTCGTTTTTTTCTTCTTTTTTTAAATGTTGGAACTGCCAAGTAGAAGAAAGAAAAATAGTACTCATTCTTGTTGCACATATGATGATGTATCAAATCCAATCAATGTAATATTCCCCTCCCGAAAGAGGTTCCCAAGCAAGTGAAATTGTGGTCGCCTCTTCCTCTTCTTGTCCTTTTGTATTTTCGCTAAAGGATGGCAAGGGGAGAATTCTTTGAATGAATGCTGAACGAGAACTAGGATAGGAACTGCTACTGGGGTATTTGCCTAGTATCGAAGCTGACCTTTAGGGGATCTAGAGCGGGTTTTTCTTGTATATTTCTCGTGCCGAGAGCTACTTCCTCGACAATAAACGTAGGAAGCCGCAAACGTGAGGACTTCCCAGGTTCGATCTACGGTTGCGTCCTATCGTTTAGTAGAATAGACACTTCCAAGAATAGTCTATACACAAATTCAATCTCGTTTTCTTAGGGTTACGGTGATGCTATGTTTAAATTAACTTCCCCTTCCCTTCAACCTAAATACCAAAAAAAAAAAGTGAAAGGCATCTATGCTCAAGACAAAACCTTTTTTCCCAAATGACAGGGGTTGCTAAATTGGTCATGCTATTAGTAAAAACACATTCAAGCACCTTTGGAAAAAGAAGTTTATTTAAAGCTAGAGAAAGTTAGATGTATGTCAGAATTAGAAAGCTTGATTCAATCTATCTAAAATTTGTTTTGGTCAATATGAGTCAAATAACAACACATCACAACCTAAGCCTTCCCTCTTTCTTTCTTGTTTTGTGCTTTTTGAATAAAAAAACTGAAAGCTTAAATTATTACATTAAAAGTGCTTTATCCTCCAATAATTACCTTTCAAAGTAAGTCTTCTTAAAGTGAATCTGAATTAATAAACAAAAAAATAAAAAAATTATTAACTTAAGTTCTAAATTTACATAATTTTAATCTCCAACTTTAATTTTGTATATTTTGGATTTGTTACATGTTGACCCATTGAATAATGTTATGAAAAATTAACCTAAATAGTCATCTATCTTATATAAACTAAAAATAGATCACCTATGTTTAATATATGTATATAATTATGTATAATTTATATATACCAACTGAAAAAGATAAACGGTAAATCTATCTACCTTTAGTAGAAACTCCACAATCCATGGGAAATCAACCATCCCTCATCCTCTATTATTTTCTATAGGTTAAAGGTATTGATTCTTACTAAATTGTTCTATTTTATTTTCCCCTTTTGCAACCACCAAATGAATTCCCTCTTGATTATAAAAACACTCATTATTACAAATGGTTTGTCTTGTGCCAAATAGAACCAATGCGCAAATCCACTAAATGTTCTTCCCATCAACAAATTAATCTCACAAGTCACTAATACAAGTTTTCTTTCACTAAATGACGTCTTCTTTTGCCTTTCATCAAAATTAGGCAAAATACATAGATGGCTACTTGAACAATGTACTAAATCTCTATTATACAATTTTAGCAAAAATTATTTTATACACTATTTTATACCTTCAATCTTTCAAAAGTATGCCCGCTTTTATAGTTGACCAGTTTCACAAAATATGTCTATGTTCTGCACCAATAGGGTTGCAACACATCTCCTTAAAATTACAAATCTACCCTCATCAACTTCCTTCTTAGGTTTCTGTACATTTTTTAGGATCCAGCTTCTCTTTTAGTTGCTTCTTTTTAATTCAAAGCCACTCCTAATCAGTTTCAATTCATTCCAAAGATCAAATTTAGCCTTGTACAAGTGTTTTTACAATTCATTCGAAAGATCAGATTTAGCCTTGTACAAGTGTTTTTACAAGGACCTAGAACACCCACTTGAATTTGAACATGAAATTTCATATTCAAATGTGATTCCAACATCAACCTTAGAAGCTTTGCCGACAATGGTGATTTGAACATTAATCCAACCAAACTCAACCCAAACATTGATTACAATTCGATTTTTGAATATTAATCCACCCAAGCTAAATTTGATGTTTAGCTTCCATCGTTCGAGCCACAAATAAAATTCAATTTGGAACTCGAATTTGTACGTACATCAATAGATAATAATTGTTTGGGTTGAATTTGAAGTCAACTGCTGATTTCAAAGACGTCATTGGTGAGTAGAATGCAAAAATAGTTACTGAGTTATAGGTTTATGCAATCTGAAATCTAAAACTTATGTAAATTATTTGTTGTTTGGAATTGGTTAAGAACGTATTCCGAATTTCCATTGTTGAGTTCTTCTGTTCTTATGAGTTCAAAATAGAGTTAAAAATATGCCTCGGCATTATAAAAATATGCTTTACGCCTCGGCATTATAAAAATATTCTATATCCAAAGAACTAATAAATTAAATTGGTTTGGTGCAAATAGAGTACAAATAAATATTTACCAGCAAGATTTAATCATATTCGCACATAGAATTTTATCACTTAATCATAATTAAGTAATGCATATTTTCAATTTTTATATTAATTAATCATAATAAATTAAATTAATTAGATGTAAACATCTTAATATACCAAACCAATAAAAATATAACATGTGTTTGCACATTAAAGTTTTATTACTTAATCATGTTTAATTAATATATATGTTTTTTAATTTATTATACTAGCTAACTATTATAAATTAAGTTGATTTGATATAAACACCCAAGTATAAATAAATATTTACCAATAAATACTTATCTCTGCACTCAATGTTTGAGTTGAATCAATTTAATTTATGATGATTAATTAGTATATTTATCTAAAAAATGCATTAATTAATTTCGAATTTACTATGGTTAACTACTATAATGGATTGAAAATATCTATTAATTAATTATGATTAAATAATAATAAAATTTAATGCAAACACATATCACACTTCTATTAATTTGTATAAATACCAGGTGTGACAATGTTTACACCTAACCTAATTAATATAATAAATTAAAAATATACGTGATAAAATTCTATGTGCAAACATAATATATATATATATATATATATATATTATGTTTTCTCAAAATGTGTTTTTCACTTTATCGAACCTATTTGTGTAAATAGTAGAAAAGTACTAAATTACTAATCTAGTACTAATTTAAAACCAATTTGATTGAAAACCAATTAAAAGTATCTGCTGTTAAATTATTTTTCCTATTTAGAATTTGCATTTAACAGTGGTAGATCAGCTACAGAAAAAAGAAGAAAAAAATCAAAGAGAAGGATATAATGAAGAGAGAAATGTACCAAGACGAGGGAACCCAGAAAAAGAATGGAAACAAAACCTGGGCAAAAAGAAACCCTTGAATTGTAATTAAATATATGCCCCCAGAACAAAGCCACAAGTAATCGATCCTCAGATCTCTTCTCTTGTAGCTGAAAGAAGAGGCATTCTCATTACACACCAGAAAACAACACTTTTAACTTGCATAATCACATTTATTCAAAATCTATATCCAAAAATAATGGGAAAAAAACAAATAGTCAAAAAAAGAATAAGAATAAAAATCTATTTCAATGGATATTGAGCCCACCGCTTCGCAACAAGTTTTACACAGAATAGCAGCTGCTTTTATCTGTTCATAGAACAAGCCCTTATTTATAAGGTGGGGCTAGGGTTTCTATGGATCAGCGTTGATAGAGAGCATCCTCAGTTGTTGCTGTAATAGCAAACTAGTCCCTCAAGTTTCTATAATGTTAGAAATGTACACTTAGTAATCATGGTCACATCTTATTCGTGAAATGATTTGGATTAGTATTAGGATATGGCATGATTCTTCCGCATTTTATTCTACTATTTTACAGAGGAAATCAATGTAAATTTCGATATAAAATTATTATTTTAACCTGAAAAATAACCTAAGAAACTTAGCGTATAACACAATATCGAGCCAAATATACTCTTCGATAATTTCAGTTCATTAAGTATATCAAAACTCAAAAGTAAGTACTTTTGATTTCTTTTAAATGTGTAGCAAACGCTCATGTTAGATATTATAGAAATCGAAAAAACACATCGCTAATAATTAGAAACATCTATATCCAGACAATATCCTTAATATTTTTCAAATTTCCCTATTCAGCACACATTATTGTTAAAGACTCAGAAACTTACCAAAATTTCCTATAGTGTTCGTATTCCACAAAAGTGTTATTTGTTCCTTTTTCACAAGAATACAGTAGCTAAAGATAGTAATGGCAAAATGGATAATAATTATCAATCCAAATTATCCAAGAATAAGTTAGATAATGAACTTTTTGAAAAAATAAATCAAATACGGATAAAATTTATATTGTCCACCTAAAAAACAGATAACGGGTTTAACTTTTTTACATTTGCAAAGACTCAATTTGGGGATTGCACAAAATTTGAGACTAAAAATTCTTCCAAAAGTGATCATATTCAAGAAGGCATGGATAATATGATATTCATATTACAGTTAAGTCATTTTCTATCTGCATTAAATATGGATCGGATCGAATATTTTACCCGTTTTCGACCCGACCATACCGGACCTGACTCGCCCATTTGCAACCCCTAGCTAAAGATTTCCACTAAAAACAATACTATCAAAGATACCTTCACACCTGTGACTAGTACCAGAGGCATAAACGAAAAAGAAAACAAAGAAAGATCACACGCGTGTTCATTACTCAGGCAGGTAATTACAAGAATGAAAATGGCAAAGCTAATTACAGGTTTCTTTCAGTTATCTAGAAACAAGCACCAGATGTACAAACCCAGAGACCAATATGGTCTAATGAAGTTAAAAAATTATTGTACTTCACAGGGTCTGCTAGCAATAGCATAGCTGTATACTTTTAACTTGGACAAATATATCATACGATGTAAATGTCGTTTCAGAAAGTTCAAACAACCTATGCCCTTTCTTTATGTTTTATGGTTTTACTCAAGCTGTCACAAATTCAATACCCTTTGTACATTTCCACATTACACTGCATAGAAAACACACTTGTTTCTCCGAAACTAGGAACATATGGTATGAGAAGCTTATCACCTAAATCTGACGACGACACAAGATATGTCATCTTTGCTGTCTCTCTTCAATGCTTCAGCTGTTAATTGCTTGGCTGCTTTCTGGGGATCTTTAACACTTCTAGCTATATCGACTGCCTCTTGATTAGACATCACCTGAATTAATCAAGCCAAAAGACGCAACTCTTGATCACCAAGGGCGGATGCACGTGGAACGAAGCGGTGAATTAATACTGTGCGGAAACGAATAACAGAAAGAAAATAACACCACTTAACACAGATTGTTGCTTGGCACTCTGGTTAAATTCTTGATTTTGCTCTTCGAGATCGGAGGTTCAAACCTCAGGTAGAATTGAACTCTGGACCTCTTCTAACTTAAGACTCAACAAAATCGATGGTTTAAGGCTACTTCTTGTCTATAAATGTGATAAATAATGTTATTTAACTTCCACTCTTTTATAAATATATAAATATCGACACCGCTTACGAGAAATCCTGCATACGCCCCTGTTGATCACGGTTCATGCAAACAGAAATCTACGGAAAAGATGCGTACCTTCCAAAGACCATCACTTGCAAGGATAAGAACATCACAATTGACATCAACGTAGATATCTAGAATATCAGGATCTGATCGCAAATGTGATTTAAGACTCTTATCTCCAAAAGCACGAGAAACAGCCAGCTGACCATTCACTCTTGCAACATCCCCTGATAAAAATGCAGCAAAATTATCGATACAAAATACATCAGGTTTTCCTGAAGACACAAAACCCATTTTTGGGTAATGGAACCTCCAACCTATTGATATTATATCAAGATGCATAAGCTTCACCCATAGGCCCTTCGGCCATCATTATACAAAAAACACAACCAACTCCTAATGGCAAATAAAATGTAAGCAAATAGTTCAGAAATGGAAGCTAAAAGAGCTCCGCACATAAAGTGATATTAACTAATAATAATAGCTAAAAGAGCTCCGCACATAAATGAAATGGATGCCCGTGAAGCTACTAATGGAAAGCAAGTGTAAGCAAATAGTTCAGAAACATAGGGCAACAAACACAAAGCTACTAATGGCAAGAAACTAAAGCAAAAAGGTCACAAGCATAGGGTACAATTATTAGCGATAAGTTTCTTCAAAAATGTTAAATGGTGCATCTGAAGTCCAAAGACAACAATCAACAGTACCGGTGTAAATTTTAACCATAAGAACCTAGAGACAGATAGAAGTATTAGTGATTAAGCCAATAGGGATCGGAGTTGATGAAACCCGTTCGCCCATTGATAGAGCCATATCCAGAATATTAAGACAATTGACGCAAATTTTCCTAAAATCTCAATAACATAGTTTTACGGAATTTTGATAAAGTTACAGACATGACATTATGCAATTTATTGGCTCATGAACAACATCTCCAGGATTTAAAGTAAATTTTGAAAGCATCTAAACAAAGTAAAAGGATAATATTAACTCAGAAGGATATCCTACCAGAAGCTATTATTTCGGTAAATCTGATTTCTTAGACATTTAAGTTTGACCATCAAGGTCAAACAAGGATGGTCATCTTAAAACACTAGCAATACTTAGCAGAGGAAATCATTAATAGCAGAGGCAAGATACAAGAAGAAAGGGGCAAAATGTACAAAAAATGCTAACTAAAAAATGTTTACCAAAAAAATACGAGGAACAAAGCACTTTCTCTGGAGTTACTTAGAATTTTCTGAAATTTTGATGGATAACAATTAAAAAATGCAAATTTGCAGGGAGGGGGGTTGGACAGGCAGTGGCAGCTCTGCCATTGGGAATCATGATACGATGATGAACGTTATTATGTGTCTTAAGATATCATAAATGAAAATGCAGAGTTGGTGCCACAAAAATATAATTAATCTTTCACTTGCTTCGGTTCGAATAAGTTAAAGCATGTTGCTGAGGCATTCCATCCCTGGAGACAATATATTTTGAATGCTTGGAATGTCGTTTCCATATTGTAAATCTCCGGGGTTTGAAAATTATAGTCCATAATAATAGAATCAAACTGAGTAAACGTTCATCTGCACGCTCTCAGAACTACAGGAGCTTGCATTAATCATTCAGGGAAGGATGAAAGGTTTTACACTAATCTAATGACGCTTTTTACAAATAGTTGAAGGGACATTGTATGAGAGAACTAAAAAGAGTAAATCCAAGGGTACTACAACTATACGAATAAGACATAGATCCACCGTTATCCACGTGGATTAACCTACACGGTCATCCCACTAAAATTAATATCGCATCCTGTCGAAAGTCAAAAGAAAAAGAAGAGAACTCTTTTGAAAATTGGTCGTGCTACAATCTAAAAGCTGAGTTCCTTATATAGGAGTCTTAGGTTACATACAATATAGTAAACAAATACGAATAAGATATAGATCCACCGTTATCCGCGAGGGATAACCTACTTTTTTTTTTATTTTACCACGTGGGATCACCTACACGGTCATCCCACTAAAATTAATATCGCATCCTGTCGAAAGTTAAAAGAAAAAGAAGAGAATTCTTTTGAAAATTGGTCGTGCTACAATCTAAAAGCCGAGTTCCTTATATAGGAGTCTTAGGTTACATACAATTGACAAGAGTGGGTTGCTCTAGTGGTGAGCACCCTCCACTTCCAACCAAGAGGTTGTGAGTTCGAGTCACCCCAAGAGCAAGGTGGGGATTTCTTGGAGGGAGGGAGCCGAGGGTCTATCGGAAACAGCCTCTCTACTCCAGGGTAGGGGTAAGGTCTGCGTATACACTACCCTCCCCAGACCCCACTAGTGGGATTATACTGGGTTGTTGTTGTTGTAGGTTACATACAATTGACAAGAGTGGGTTGCTCTAGTGGTGAGCACCCTCCACTTCCAACCAAGAGGTTGTGAGTTCGAGTCACCCCAAGAGCAAGGTGGGGATTTCTTGGAGGGAGGGAGCCGAGGGTCTATCGGAAACAGCCTCTCTACTCCAGGGTAGGGGTAAGGTCTGCGTATACACTACCCTCCCCAGACCCCACTAGTGGGATTATACTGGGTTGTTGTTGTTGTAGGTTACATACAATATAGTAAACAATTACTTTGCACTCCTAACAAGGAAAGTAAATCTTCTACTGTATCCCAAGGAATATTATGATATATTCTCCAGTATTCTACTACTTAAATTCAATGAATATACAGATGCTGCAAATCTAGACACGATTAACTTCGTGAATTCTCTCGACTGTTAACAGATCTGGCTTTCCATTGTCTGTAATTTAATTGGACAATGAGATTGCATAGTTCATTGAGTTTGAATTGATATAAATCATCGACAACAATTGTATGATGTCAGTTAATATTAGCTTTATGTAAATGGATTTGAACTCATAAAACTTTAGAAAGATGTATTGAATGGTTCTGTATAGAAGTGTGTCAAACATTCTCTAATGTCACATAAGGAAATTTTCTCTCATAAAAGAAAGTTGAGAGAAAAAGATAATAGATATACCAAGCATTTCCCTAATTGAAGTAATAGAATGGATAAGTCCAACTCACCATAACCACAAGCAGCTATAGCATGGAAGCACGGGCAAGTAACAAGTAAGTATTTTGTGGTAGATTTTGGTTTCATGCCATCTCCACTCCATAATTAGTTGGCTAATTTATTGTTTTTGTCATTTCCAATTCATGTAACTCTTGCTTAAGTCGAGTCTTCCACGTACAAAATCTGAGACTAAGTAATATTTTGGTTCAGAAAGAACCTCTCTTGAACATTATTTAAATATTTAGTCTGAGCATCTATAACTCAGTCTGATTGAGTCACCTATTCAAACTTCCATTCTCTACCTCTGCATTGATCAAATGAAGTCATCAGTATCCCTCCCTTTCTTCTTAAGGAGACGCGATAGAAAGTACAGCACAAAAAGTACAAAGATTACTGCCACATCTAATTGTAAAACTTTTTAGCACTGAACTAGACGCAAATCTCAAATCCAGCAAACTACTGAGAGAAACAAAAGAAATGACCCAGAAAAAAACTAAAAAAGAGAAAGAAGAAAAGGACCGAATAATGTTGATAAGCAGGTCAAATAATCCCCCAATCCAATTTTACATGGCACAATTATTATCTGGGAGTCACCCAACTTTTTCTTAGACTGTGATTTGCTTGAACTTTTTACGATATTTTTAAAACTCCAGTTTCCGATACATAGCCCAAAGGCATAGCTTAGTGGTCAAGGGGGTTCAAAACCTTTGTAAGGTCATTGATTCTATACCTTATCAAAAAAAAAAATCCAGTTTCTGATACTTTTTCTACAGTTTCCGAATATAGAACTCATATTTGACTTTACTAAGTGAATTGATGTCCACAAACCCAAGATTGGATTATTTCACCCTCAAGCTTCAAATAGTGTCAATCATTTCAGGATGGATAGTGTAACTATACGTGTTAAAACTTTGACTCCGTACACTCTAATATAAAAGAAACTGACAGCCCAGCAGTTGTAAGGATGCTATATTAATATGATTACTGGAACGATACTGAAAACCAATTGGCGTGATGGAAGCTAAAAACAAAGAGAGGTTCAAAATCATAACGAAAAGTTAATCCGGTCATATTTCTTTCAAAGTTTAACTTATCGAGCATGATCTAGCTCTAATAGATCCTCCCACCTGAGTATGACCAGCCATCCAGTGGCAGCAGTGTTATCAAAGACGTGCTTAAGCCCTGAAGCAAGGCTCAAAACATATTGAGTGCTTCGCCTCGTTTAACGAGCGCTTCGATGTTGTCATCAAGGCTCTAAGCCTCTAAGGCATACTTTTCCTTGCTAATGAGCGTAATCCGGAAGAGGTGACACTAAACAATTGATGTTTCACTTTATCGTAACTTTTCTTCAATTTCTTTGTCCATATATTTGGTATTCATGCTTATCGATATTAGTCTTGGACTACACATACATATTTTTAGTTTTTCTCCATTTGCGCCTTTCTTCATTATAGCCCACGTTTTATTTGCGCTTTGCGCTTAAAGCCCCACCAGACCTTAGAGCCTTTTTGCGCTTTTCGCCTTTGATAACACTGAGTGGCAGAGGAGGAAATAGAGTTTGAATGATGTACCAAAAATAGAGGAATTTTCCCCCTTTGTTGCTTTTGCTGCTAGATTTATCTATTGATAAGGACTATTTTTGGTGGATGATTAATTCTCAGTATTTACAACAAAAAAAAAAGTAGTAATGTATCTCCGTTTTAGATGGAAAATTGTGATAAGATTTTATGAAACTTTAAGCATAAACCGATTATCTTCAGTCTGAAAGAGAGGGCAAGAGAGAGGAAACCAAGGTAGCTAAGAGAAGAAAGAAGCAGACAACCAATGAACAGGCAATAGTTTAGTTCATCGCTTTAGTATTAAACCCTCAGGTTCAAAAAATTTCATTCCGCCAAGCGTCCAAACCAAAGGAATTCAAAATCGCAAAAAGCTTTTATATTATTGTAATGTAGCTTTCAGAAATTTAAATAAAAACTGCAAGTGGTTCGACAAGCACAAAAGGTGGTGGCAGTGCAGACTATGGTACATGAGTTCATCCAAAGCATCTACACAGCGGATTAAATTAATACAACAGCTTTATTGGATGATACAAGCCTTCTCAGTACTCCTGGAAACACAAATACAAGACAGACAAAACAATAAACCCTGCCCACCATAAAAGAGTAAATCAACGAGTTTTACATGTTAATTATTAGGAATGTCAATCACACCAAATAGTATCTTGGACAGACATATTTCAATCACTGACTACATTGCTCAGATTTCAGGAAAGCACCTGGCATATTTGAGACAAAACCTCCTCTGTCCTCAATGCTGGCTCGTTCTGTATTTGGCTCATGTTCTATTGTCATCTGAATAGCTTGACCACCCCGAGAAAGAACAGCTCGTGAATCTCCCACATTAGCTACCCACAATCTTAGGCTATTTATCAGAATAGCGGTGACAGCAGTGGACCCACCTCGGCCCAAATTAGAATTATTCGAAAGTATTGCCTGGTCAGTTTTTTCGTAGGCTTTTGTGATTGCTCTGCGTGGATCAACCCAAAACTCATCCTAGTAAAAGACGAACCCAAAGATGAGATGCCAACTGCTCTAAGTTTTTCAGTATATTATATGTTTCAAAGCAGCATTGCAAATTCAGGATTTATAGAAACCCTACCTCCTTTAAGATATTGGCAAACAGATGTTTCTGCAGATAAGAAGGAACCTCATCCCCCAAATGACCATCATAAATAGCAAATAAGCCAAGCTCGTGTCCTTCTATCTGTACAAATTTAGCGACATGGTAATCTTCCATCCGATGATCAGCCTTCCCTTTCACTAGGCTGAAACCATACTTAGTATTGCCCTCGTGGCTTCTTCCTCTACCAGAACTAGAAGACGACTCTCCACCTACGCACTATGGTAGTAAAAAAGTTAGTAGAAACAAATCTATAATGGTGTTGAGAATAACTGGAGCAAATTCAACCAATTAAAATTCTAAGTGGAGCAAATTCAACCAAAAAAATAAAATAATATATATATATNTTTCAATATAGTTGAGCGGCATAGTTCAACTTCCCATCAGAAGTTTTGTGGCATGCAAATTAAGAAAAAACCTTCTGCAAACTTTTTTTCTTCTCTAAGAAGAAACCTTATACGAAACTTTAGTCATTGCACTTAAGTAATTCACTAACTAGACAATGAGGGCCAACTTTCTCTGAATTATCAATTACAAGTAATGCATTCATAGAGGAAATGAATAAGTATGAGGCAAATAACTCTCTAATTCATTTGCAACATCAACTGAGTGTTGCTTCTGAGTTCTGCAGGATCTCTCTCATTCACACCCCAAAACTCACTTCTTTTTTAATCAGTGTAAAGGAACACGGAAAAACACCATCAAACTATATCAGCAAAAAAACATGAAAAATTAAAATTTAACAAAAGAATAAATATTACCTGGCCACAGTTAGCACCAAAAAAGCACAGCTTAACCATCCTTAAAAAATCTGCCACCAAAATAAAAAATCGATCTTGAGAATTTCTAAGGATCAACCAATTTTCAAGAAACAACCATAAACCTCATGAAAATCACACCATAAAAGGCCAGAACTTAACCACTCAATACAAGCCATAAACCAAGAAAAGGAAAAAGAAAATATAAATTGGGGTATATCAAGAATTCAATCAAACCTACCTATTTTAAAGATAAAATAAAAACAAAAGGTGGATTAATTGGCTGATTGCATCACCAAGAATTTGCCCCCCTTTTTCCTCTTCTGTGTTTGCTGAACCAATTAGGCTAAAGAATAACAGTGAACAACAAGGAAGCTAAGCTAACACTTAAATCCCTCTTGGCTTCCCACTCACTCACAAAGGTAAAAAATTTATCTCTATTCTTTTCCTCTTTTATGTTAAGAAAATAATAGGAATGAATTATTTGATTTGGAAATTTCTCTGTGAATCCTATTTTTCTTCCCCTAACTGTCTTCAGGACAAGGACAGGGAGTATATTTTTGGCTTGTTTAGGAAGAGACAAGCAAGTGTGAGCAAAATGGGAAGATCAATAATAGTAATATGTTGAGTTTCTCCCGTTTGAATATGTCAAAGGTTTGTCCCTTGCTTTACGGTTTTATATATGATAAGTGATAACGACAAGTCTTTGCCATTTCTCTTGCAAGCATTCATTACAAATACCATAAAAAAATTTGGCAATTAAGTTCTGCATTTTATAACTTCAAGTACCAGCTTTATAATAGGAAATAATATATTTTTGGAGCATCTATCTAATTATATTATAAAATATATGTCCTTAGGGACAACTCATTACTAAAAAATCACAATTCAAATTGCAGTATACAAGTTTGAACTTCAATAATATCATAGTTATTACTGTCCAGTTAAGTCCTTCGTTTTCTATATTATACAATATATTATTTGTGAAATTCCTTTTAAATGAAAGTATTTAAAAGAACTTATTTTGTTTGACTATCTGGTGTTCGAAACCCATCAACTCTAACTAATTCATTTTCAATATAAAACTAATAGGTCTTAATTTACTGATGATGCAACATGTGAGAAATAAAATTGCGAGCAAACAAAGTTAGAGGATCATAGTATTTGGAGATTCAAAGTCGCTTAACTGCTATAGTAAAGTCATATTTCTTTTGTTTATAACAGAAAAACAACTCAACTATATTTATAACACTCAGAATGTCACTGCACAAACTTTCGATGGCCAAATACGTATTTAACTCTCTAAATTCTCAACCTTTGTCTTTTCTTTTCTTTTTTTACTTTTTAAAGATTATGATATTTTTTCTATTTTATTACATTTTGAACTTGTTGATATAACAAATAAATCTTATTTTTAAAGTAAAAAAAGCGATAAATAATTTTTAAACACATATAATGTTGAAATAATAAAATAGTTGAGTTATTTTTTTATGAAAGAGAGTAACTATTCATGCCTTATTTGAAACCAAAACTTCTTTTCACATCTGATATCCCATTGCAGGAGAAATTGCTGCAGCCACACAGTCCATGTTGTTTCTTGGATAGATAAAAGCTTTTAAAATAGGGATATATGCTTATGCATTCCACATCAGTGTTTTATAAGTTAAGGACGTGAGGCGGGCGGGGCGTTTTTACTTAATACGGAGCGAGACGAAAGTCTTTCGTCTAGAGACATGGGCGTAAGCCCCATGGATCTTTAATTTTTTAATTTATGAATTAATAATATAACATTATAAAAAATATAAAAGATACATTAAAAATTCATGAAAACTAATTTTTTTTGAAGAAACCCATATAAAATAAAATATTTAGCATGTTTTACAAGTATAAATAATGCAATGTTGTTAACGTTAATATGAAATATTAATTTAATACAACATCTTAACTTTCAAACGATTAAAAATCATAATCTCTTAAAAATCAAATTGCATATTTTACCTCCTTAAAAGTAAATACTCAATAAATTTTATCAACACTTTTATTCCTTCACAAGAAATATAAAAAAATAAATTTAAAGAGTAAAATACTAAACATATATTAATTTAGTGAGATATAGAACTAAGAGATGAAGATATAAATTTTGGCTATCTATTTTCAGAAGAAATATTCTAATGATATTCACCCTCACGATGCTCTAAATTAGTAAATATGCAATACTGTGGTTTGTTATTTGAGTTGTTCCCATTTTTCATATTCCAACAGATAAAAAGAACTTTAATCATTCACTTGTTAAGAATTTTGAGAGTCAACAGTGCTAATTAGCGAATTCAACACATGATTTGCATAGGAATTATGGGATAAGTCTCGAACGTTGAGTGTTAGGCGTGTTTATGATACACAATCGGGTGCTTGGGGACGTAAGTCTCACAGAACTAAGCCTCATACATGAGTCTCAAAGCGTTTTGATAGTGCTCTGCCCCGGGACGAGTCCCAGAAAAGCCATTTAAAACATTGTTCCACATAAAGATAAAATAATTCCAAAGGAAATCTTTTATGAATAAAGATAACTTTAAGTGCATTGCGAGGTTCTATTGAGTGGACGTTTGGACATAAGAATCGTAAAAATCTAAAATAGGGGGAAAAGATTTTTCAAGTGAAAATAGTATTTGAAATTTAGAGTAGTGTTTGAACATGAATATAATTTTGGGTTGTTTTTGAAGTTTTGTGAGTGTTTTGAGTGAAAATTTTGAAAAACAGATTTTTGGAGTTTTTTAAATTTTTCGAAAATTTTCAAAATGCATCTTCAAGTGAAAATTAAAAATTTTATGCACAAACGCTGATTTCGAAAAAAGTAAATTTTTTTTGGAAAAAAAAAATACTTCTTATGTCCAAACGGGCTCTGAAATACCCTTTGAAAACGAGAAATGTGCTATTAGTGAACTCCCAATATTAATATATACCTCCCATAAATCAAATAAATAGGTAGTAGTTTATTTGGGATTAATTATGAAGGCATTACATTACCTGCCTTGGGACAAAAGCTAAGAAGTTAAGTTGCCTTACACATAATACTTATAAGTTATAACAAATACAACAATATCAAATTAAGTACTTGAGCTTTTGAGGAGCCTTCGAGTCGGTGGGAGTGATGAAACCTTAACAGGCCACATCTCAGGAGTAGTGAAGCAGGGCGACTGACATATAAGAGACTTTTTGGGTGGTCTAAGCGGGATGTCCTTAAAGTTTTCAATATTTAAAAAATGACTCCGGGCCCGCACAAGTTTTTCAACTTTTTCTCTATCGGATTAAATTGCTCATCGAAGTCTAGCGGATTATAATACTTTTGCTTTTCAAGATTTCTCTCCCAATCCGATAGAGTTGATGTTATATTTTATCTACCTATTTGTTAAGTTGTTCATCGAAGTCTATGGGATTGACATACTTTTTCTGGGTTGTTTTAACCAAGTGTTATTCAAATTTGCAACTTTATTTTCGATCATACCACCCAAATCTGCTTCAAATGATCTCAAATTTGAAACAAAGCTTTTAAATACGAATACAAACAATCCTTAGTCCCCAATTTAGTCGAATAACACCAAATCAAAAAACCTTGTCTTCTTTAACACTTTCTAAGGTCCAACAATGGAGTTTCGAGTTTTCTACGGTAAATCAACAAAATATGTGTCTAAACTAAAAGGTTAAGCACAAATTATCAACATTCAAACGATTTTAATAATAAATCGATCATTAACTTTTATTTTTTACCATCAAACAAGAATTTTAAGCTTTAGAAATTAAAGAACTATGGCGTTCAAATAAAAAGGGGGACATTATGCCAAGACACCATCCCTTTTTGGGGATCACGCCATGCTAGTTTCGTCTAATAATGTAGACAATTTGATTGGGCCATCCTTTGAGCCCAAAAGGAAACCCGAGGGATGACTTTGCTGACTAATAATAGGGTAGTAGCTTCCCCATGCATGCAAATTGGCTCGTAGTCACCAGAATACAGCAAGGNTCTAGGATTTGAAGGTGACGGATGCCATAATTTCTTTTAATGTATTCCTTGTAATGACTAATATGAAATTTGTTAGGAATGTTTATTCGGTTTTTTTGAGTTTATTCAGGTCAACTTAATAGATATTTTTTATTTTCAAATACAAAAATTACATCTCAGATATTAAAAAATAGACGTAATTAGCATTTTAAATCAGGAACATACCTTTATTAAAACAACACAAGTAAAATCAACATTTTTACTAGGAAATTACATCTCTTTTTGTATATTAAAAATAAATTTACACAAGTAAGATAACATCTTCAATAAGGGAATTACATCAATCAGAATAAGAAATTTTTAAAAATATCTTCAATAGATAAATTATACCCCACAAGTATAGAATTAAATAAACTACAAGTTCTCAAAAATCAAAATCATAAATTTCATATTTTTTAAGCAATGCTTACGAAATTTTTGTCATAATCTAATACTAAAGAGATTTAAATTATATTTAATAACCATAGAATAACATAATTTTTTAAGATATAATAAAAAAAAAGATGAAAAATTTTGATCTCAATCGAAAATTCCCATTAAGACCCAAATTTTTTGGATATAAAAGAAGAAAACTCATAAATTTGAGATTAAGAGGAATGCTTATTTTATAGAATTTTATAAGTTTGGAGTCTCTTTTTTTGAGTATTCTTGTCAGAGACCGCATATAAATAATAAAATAAAGAAAAAAATGCAAAAAATAATAAAACGATAAATAGAAAATTGGGAGGTAGCCGAAAAGGAAAATGACTGGGGCAAAAAGAAAATAAAAAGCACACGAAAAGTGAAAGTTGGATAAGGGTTAAGATAATTTCCAACTTGAATTTTACACACCAAAAAAGCTTTCAAAAAGATCTACCAGCTATGACACCTTTAACTAATTTACGGCGGGTGGTAGGATAAGATATTTAACCTAATTTAAGAAAATTTCAACATAGGAATATAAATTTTTTATCATTTTAGGGGGTGTCATGCCACCCCACTGTAAAGGGGTGGATCCGCCCGTGTCTTTGGGGGTCACGCCGTGCTAATTTCCGAGTGAAGCACGGCGAGGAGGCACCACCGTATTAACCACCACAATAGAGCTATCAAAATTGGCTAGCCTAGCCCAGCCCAGCCATATGTCCCAACTCTTCTATGAATGCAATTTGCATAGCATAACATGCTTTTCGACAACCTCAACACAAAATTTATACGTGCAGGGAGATACTAGACTTTCTATAATCTCGCAAGAAGTTTAGGCCTTGATATAGCCAAAGGTGTTTACAAAAAGGTCAAATATATATACAAGTGTAAAAAAAAATCTTTACATTACTAGGGCAAACTAAAAAGATAGAAGCAAGTTATCATATCAGACCTGCTATAAAGAGTTACATATTATTGTAGGTTAATTTAAGATGGTGTAAAAGTTTGTACACTGTGAATACACAAAACATAAACTCTAATATAAAACAATTGAGCCTTGTAGTTTACCATGATTATTATCACTAATACTTTTGGATCAAACACTATCATGATTTGCTGTCCTTGTAATATTATGAACATAAAGTTCAACATCGTGCTTTAACATTACCAATGAGAACCTGA